ACCCTACAGCAGCAGCCTGCACCTGTCACCTCAGTCCTGTCAATAGTGGCTTGGGCAGTGGCGGTTACGCCTGATGTGACTGGGCACCACTATATAAGGACTCCGACCCCCAAAGCCAAGGGGGAGGGAATGGAAAAATGGAGGTAATCCCTGCTCTCTAGCTCTCTCATTTCTCTCCACCAAGGAGCTCGTCACCAGGCAGTTCTCCACCAGAGAGCTCGTCACCAAGTAGCTCTCCACTAGGGAGCTCGTCACGTCACCAAGCAGTTCTCCACCAGGGAGCTCGTTACCATGTAGCTCTCCACCAGGGAGGAGAGCTCGTCACCAAGTAGCTCTCCACTAGGGAGCTCGTCACGTCACCAAGCAGTTCTCCACCAGGGAGCTCGTTACCATGTAGCTCTCCACCAGGGAGCTCGTCACCAGGAAGTTCTCCACCAGGGAGCTCGTCACCAAGTAGCTCTCCACCAGGGAGCACGTCACCAAGTAGCTCTCCACCAGGGAGATCGTCACCAGGCAGTTCTCCACCAAGGAGCTCGTCACCAGGTAAYTCTCCACCAGGGAGCTCGTCACCAAGTAGATCTCCACCAGGGAGCTCGTCACCAGGCAGTTCTCCACCAGGGAGCTCGTCACCAAGTAGTTCTCCTCTAGGGAGCTCGCCACCAAGCCAGGCAGTTCGCCACCAAGTAGCTCATCACCAGGCAGTTCGCCACCAGGGGGCTCCATCATCCTTTGAGTCACAGGCCACCTGGGAGCAGGTCAAATGACGAGGTACTTAGCCAAAAAAAAAATTGATACATCACAAAAATTGGTACGTGAGCAGAAACGGTTACATCAATATCTATATCTAAGGGAAGGTTGTATTCGAAACAAAGGGAGATAGTCCCGACCACGTTTCGAATAGAGTTTGGATGGAGCTGGTCCAACATGACGTTAAAGCATCTCAACACCTCGGGGATAAGGGGGTGAAGAGGGAGACGAAGCCTGCCGACGAGTTGCTCCCTAAAGATCACGATCTCATCCAGACCGTGCTCCCAAGGGAAGTTGCCGGAAGGAAGACTATACGAGTATTCCTGAGGCAGGTTGAAGTGCTGGATGAGGTGCTGAAGTCTCTCCAGCGTCATAGTAGATGGACCGAACTGATCTGGCACCCGATCTCGGTGGGAGGTGGACACCAGCCTACCCGAGGTCACCCGAGACTCGTGGGAAGGCTGGGCAACAACGGAGTCACCCTGACCCGAGGCTCCTACCTCGGGCTCGTTTAAGAGACTGTCCTCGCTAGACATTGAATGAAATGAACTGAAAAAGGAGAAAGGGAGGCTTGGGGACTCACCGAGAAAAACGCAACCGAACTAGAACTGGACGAGTTAGATGACCCGAGCTAAAGACTCCAGACGCGAGCTCAAGCTAGACGAAGGATACTTAGTGGCGGAAGAAAATGACCAGGGCCCCCCCCCCACTATTTATAGCCGCTAGGCCTGCGCACCAACGGTCAAGATTGAAGCAATCTGACGGTTCTCAAGAAAACCGGCTGCGAGACTCTCGAGGTGAAATCAGTTTAGCGCGTTTTTTGCCGTCCGCGAAGTCCAGATCGTGTGACGTTCGCGCGTGAGTTGTACGCGGCCCGGGTTTTTCCTTCCGAGTTAACCGAGCGCCAGACCGGTCTGGCCAACAGGTTGCCCGACAGGGTGGCATAAGTGCCAGGCCAAATCCACCCGGCGCATCGTGAACTCCCCGCGCTAGGTCAGCACCCCCAGCACGGGGAGTGGAGGGCAATTGAAGGGGTGATTTGGCCCGACCTCGTAGCACAGGGGCACGTGTGCGTGACCTGGCTCGACGAACAGCTCAGCCTAACAGCACAACCGTGACTCGACGGGAGGGATCCGCTGAGTCCAACATTGGCCACTTGGCGGGTTAAGCGACTCGCCGGGAACTAGCGCCCGCCCAACCTTGACTCCCACCAAGTATGGGAGGTCCCAAGCTCCCCTTGAG